GAAAGACTATAACAGTGTATTAGAGAAAATTCAGCATGGATTGATTTAACTTATACTTGAGGATATTTATGTGTTACTATGTGTACCCCTGGCCCTCACCTACTACAGCAACTCAGTCTCACCAGTGTACCCCTGGCCCTCACCTACTACAGCAACTCAGCCTCAAAGGTGTACCCCTTGCCCTCACCTTCTCCAGCAACTCAGCCTCACCAGTGTACCCCTGGCCCTCACCTTCTCCAGCAACTCAGCCTCACCAGTGTACCCCTGGCCCTCACCTTCTCCAGCAACTCAGCCTCACCAGTGTACCCCTGGCCCTCACCTACTACAGCAACTCAGTCTCACCCGTGTACCCCTTGCCCTCACCTTCTCCAGCGACTCAGCCTCACCAGTGTACCCCTGGCCCTCACCTTCTACAGCGACTCAGCCTCACCAGTGTACCCCTGGCCCTCACCTACCCCTGCGACTCAGCCTCATAAGTGTATCCCTGGCCCTCACCTATAAATCCAGCAGCTCAGCCTCACCAGTGTACCCCTGGCCCCCACCTACTACAGCAACTCAGCCTCACCAGTGTACCCCTGGCCCTCACCTACTCTGGAGACTTAGCCTCACCAGTGTATCCCTGGCCCTCACCTACTCTGGAGACTCAGCCTCGCCAGTGTATCCCTGGCCCTCACCTACTCTGGAGACTAAGCCTCACCAGTGTATCCCTGACCCTCACCTACTCTGGAGACTCATACTCCCCAGTGTACCCCTGGCCCTCACCTACTCTCGATGGAGACTCAGCCTCACCAGTGTACCCCTGGCCCTCACCTATTCTGGCTGGAGACTCAGCCTCACCAGTGTACCCCTGGCCCTCACCTACTCTGGCTGGAGACTCAGCCTTACCAGTGTACCCCTGGCCCTCACCCACTCTGGCTGGAGACTACTCAGGGACTCAGCCTCACCAGTGTATCCCTGGCCCTCAACTACTCAGGGACTCAGTCTCACCAGTGTACCCCTGGCCCTCAACTACTCAGGGACTCAGCCTCACCAGTGTATCCCTGGCCCTTACCTACTCAGGGACTCAGCCTCACCAGTGTATCCCTGGCCCTCACCTACTCAGGGACTCAGTCTCACCAGTGCACTCGGCCTCACCAGTGTCACTAGTAATAACCTAGTGTAATTATAGCTATTATGATGCACAATTTTTCAACTTTTGTTTAATCTGGACCTGATCCAATTAATATGAATCATTCACACAACATTTAAAATAAATTGGACATTTGACAAGAGAACACATGTTTAAGAAATATTTATCAAATTGTCTGCAGGCTTCTATCAGGCATGTTCAGACGTATGTGTCTTAACAAATGTTAGTTTCAAACATAATGGTCCTATTAACAGGTTTTATTTTTATTTTATTCAAAATATACATGTATATGCATCTAAATGCTAATCTAGTGATTATTCTGTTCTTTCAAGTTCTTGTATTTTATAGTTCAAATGCTCAGGACAAGTAAGCTTTTTAAAGTTCTGTGACATTTTAATCCCTGTCTCACAGATTACTTTGTGACCTTGTAGAACACATCGAGAACATGAATACACAGAGCAACAGTTCTCAAAGGATTGGCCTTGTAGGGGAATGTTTGTTAGATTCATTTGTATTTTTCCAGCCAAGAGTTTTTTTCTGGGATCTCACACAGAACAATCTGGTAAAACAAACATAAAATGAAAGTTTAATAGTGACAACAATATGGCTGACATTACACAGTGGTGTGGGGTGTGACAAGGATATGGCCGACTTTACACAGTGGTGTAGACTGTGACAAGGACATGGCTGACTTTACACAGTACTAGTGGTGTAAGCTGTGACAGGGATATGGTTGACTTTACAGTGGTGTAGGCTGTGACAAGGACATGCATGGCTGACTTTACACAGTGGTGTGGGGTGTGACAAGAATATGGCTGACTTTACACAGTGGTGTAGGCTGTGACAAGGATATGGTTGACTTTACAGTGGTGTAGGCTGTGACAAGGACATGCATGGCTGACTTTACACAGTGATGTAGGCAGTGACAAGGACATGGCTGACTTTACACAGTGGTGTAGGCTGTGACAAGGATATGGTTGACTTTACAGTGGTGTAGGCTGTGACAAGGACATGCATGGCTGACTTTACACAGTGATGTAGGCAGTGACAAGGGCATGGCTGACTTTATACAGTGGTGTAAGCTGTGACAAGGATATGGCTGACTTTACACAGTGGTGTGGGGTGTGACTAGGATATGGTAGACTTTACAAAGTGGTATTGTATGGGACAAGGATATGGATGACTTTACACAGTGATGTTCATGTAGAAACAAGTCTGTTCAGTAGAGGTATAGCTAGTGTTTACTATGAGCTCTGGTAGAAGTGATAAACCTGAAATATGATCACTTTTTTAGATCACTATTGAAGCTCAGATGACTATTGAAGCTGAGATCAGCTATTCCATCACATGCACCAGCACTGGCAGCAGATAAAGGTCTGATCCTAAATGGGAGTGGTCTAATTTAATTGGTGAGATAAAATTAACAAGATGTTGAATTTGTTTATGATAAAAATAAAAATACGACACACATACCAACACACAGGCTTGAGAACGATCCTCACAAAAATGCAAACCTTGACCGAAATTATAGAGGTATTACCACAGATATCAGAGTTGACCACAAATGACCACTAAGATGTGGGTGGGCATACTTCTGACCATCCGCCATTCAAGTGGTAACAGCCCTGTCAAATATTTGTATCAATTACAACAAATTCCTCACTGAGTAAGTACATGTATCTGGGACAGATGACCACACAGTTAAGCCTGAATGATGACCGGTGTCCGGTTTGGTATCTACATCAGTCTATAAGTAAGAGGTAGATTCTCCAGTGAATGTCATTTTGACCACAAGTATTTCTTCTGGGCATTGACTAGATCTAAATAAACTATGATAGCTTGTTTACACTTACAGGTGTTTCTGCAAAATGGAGAGCTGCATGTTCAACTTGAGTTGTATCAGTACTACAATAACTTAGTGGGATATACTGGAACACCCTCCAAACCTATTCAATGTATATATCTAGATCGTAACTCTTCACACTGGCCTCCATCTCTGGAATAAGTCATTCTGGGGAAAAAAATAAAACTAATAATTTTGATTATCAGTACTTTTTTTTGTGTTATATAAGTATTAAGTATTCCCAATAATAATGCCATACACGAAGAGCAGGAGATAATGAATACAGTTAGATACACATCCTGCCATATTTAAGAAAGATGGGTCATAGAAAGTTATAATATAGCAGCCCGCACAATTTCTCCAAGACTTTATTGCAGTCCCCTCCATACGTCCATGTAAGCGCAACATGCAACTTTAGTTGAATGGTAGATAAATGGATTGTTGTACAAATGTTCACAATTTTATTAACAACACATGAAATGATTTAGATTAAAACGAGTCACCAACTCTTACCTCATATATTTGAAATGTTGATGAGCACAGAACATTGTTCTTGGCACAAAACCCAACCATGAAGTTTATGCACAAAGATTATCTGGCACATATAAAATCTATAAGCTGTCTAAAAGAAATATCCTACATCCAATATTGGACTGGGTGCTGTCATCAATAACAAAGTCCTGGAGGTCATGATCAGGGATATTTATTACTGCCATCCCTATACCAGCAGTTACATAGTTACCAGACTTTTAAAAAATAACTAAAGAAATTTATTTCATAGTGAAAAAGATAATTTTAAAAGTTTGGCAAAAAAGAAATTACAGGAAGTTGGTATTGAATGAAAAAACAGACCTAAGCTTAGCAACTTAGTTGAATAACGAAGAGTAGACATCAATCTCTTTTAAATAAAAAAGCCTTATTCAAAGCAAAATCCTCATTGTGATTATGATTGATCTATACATAATGTAATCATTTTGCAATAAGCATATTTATTTTAAATGTGCTACTGTACATGTCATTTGATCACATCTCAAAACTTCACTGTGGATTGGCTACTCGATTCCACAGAGTTGAAGGAATATTTCATGCACATAGTTATATCATCGTTACCAACTTTGGAAATCACAACACCAAAATTTCAGGTACATTAAGGAGGAACATTAAGGCACATGGGCCATCTGCAAATTTACAAAATTAGAAAATCTAACACAAATTCAGAAATAAAGTGTTTATATTAACAGCTTCACAGTCATATAAATGATATATTTCACACAAAATGCACAGCAACCGACAACAATACAGGAGGTACAACATAACTGATAAATGTGTTATCAGATGGACCTAGGACACTTGACATCTAATTAAAACCAATGGTACAGGATATTGCATAATTGATCACATCTTTCTTTCTGGTGTTGTGATTCTGTTAAATAAGATTTAGACATTAAACATTAATTAAAATCTAAATTGAAGAAACCACTGGAAAATTGAAATCATTTCACTGTGCAGCACAGCTGTTCATGATTAGTCCCCCTCCCGTGCCCATGACTCAGCTTCTTCCTTTATTACTAGAGAAGACAAACTTATTCTCACTTTCAATATTTAGGAAATAATAATCTGAACCCCCTAAAAGACATTACGCGAGTGAACCGTGGTTATTTGTACATCACACCCTTTATTTTGTTTAGATTCTGGGTTTATAAGTCATGGTCATTGTTACCTTATAATATAGGGTAAATGGAATGCGGAATGGGGGCAGGTTACGTCCGAAGTATGAATCACAAGGGCCTTCGTCCTAATTCACCTAAGTCACCAAACGCCCACGTAAATCAAACGGGGTCAAGTCACGGTCGGTTGGCTTGATATTTATTTGGGAGTCGTGTTATTGTCGGAACACGTGTGTTTCGGTCGGCCAATACAACTTGTCAGTGAAATAAGATTAAGCTAGCATTGTCCAGATATAACACAGACGGTTTTAAACATTTGATTTGTGTGATGTTATCCTGTAATAATCTAAAGTCTACATACATGTGATGATTTCTCTGTCCCTCCTATATCAACGTAACTTTGCCTTTGCCTTTTCCGTCGCACTACTTTCTAAAGGGCATGCGCAGATGATACCTTACAATTTGCACTTCCGTGTAAACCTACTTTCAGTTTACGGTGATTCACATACAACTATACACCACGTGTGTACGTAGAGGTGTGTATATATAAAGAAAACGTCCTCAATGACTTTTAAACCCGAACTTTGCGGTTACGTACAAACCACAAACACCGAGGACGTTAAAGAACAAAATACTAAATCGGTTAAGTACGATTTATGCAAGGTCGTCTCATCATTATAACTAAACAGTCTACTGTAGGTTCGGTATTAGCAGTCTTAATTCCCGTATTGAAACGCTGATCGCCTTAAACGCTATTTATGGAAGAAAAAAATGTTGACAAATGCGGTTTTCTGCATTTTAAGTACTATTTCACTTATCTGAACTTCATATGACACGATTTCTGTTCTAGCGTTAGATTTACATGAATGTGGATAAATTAAGCAGCTCAAGATCTGTCTTATTCTTGATTTAATTTGTAAATGTATCGCATGTACATGTTCTTTATTTATTTCTACTAAAAACAAATGTAACGAAGTGAAAATTAACGTAACATTTTAAAACAAAACGGGCAACAATCAGCAAAAAGTTTGGATCATTTTTAGTTCGAGCCAATCAAAGTGTTCTTGCCATCAAAATACATATTATGCAGGATATTTTTTTCCATTTTCCCACATTACTGGAGGATACAGAGTGAATTTTGGAGCATACTAATTTAATATGATGATGATGATGATGATGATGATGATGATAATCATTTTGTCAAAATTTTAAAGGTTTTTAGAAGGATCAGCAGCTAGTCGTTATTGATCAAACGTTTAACTGTGCGACCGGCCAGTGAGCGAGCCGAGGCGACTCCCTACGGGTATTACATTATACATGATCTGCATGGGTTTTGTAAGATGTCAAATTTTGATCATATTATATACCAAATTCTCATTTAAAGCGATGAATAATAAAAAGGTTATTCGAATTAACAATGATTTACAATGATTGACATGCCATACACAAAATTAGTCATGTACGTACAATCCGATCAACGAGTTAGTAGTATCAGTGTGTTTGGGGAGGAGGTGATATAGGGTTGTTCAGTGTTGGGTTGGGTCGGGAATGGTGGAGGAACGTGGGAGGGGGTTAGTTAGTGGAAGAGCGTGTAGAAGTGTAAAGAAAATCTTACAGACATTTAGTCGTGTTAATGGGAACAATGATTCGTGTGCATATGATACAGGTAGAAATCGACGCTACTCATAGATAACTTTTATTTGGTTAAAATCTATGAAATATATTTCGAATAAACATTAAATCAAATTCTTGTACACGTATACATGTGTATGGACTACATTAGTCAAGACAGTTGTAGTGACGTCAGATAAACGGATTTTTTCGCAATCTCACTGCAAAACGACAGACGCTTATGTGTTCTGTGAACCCACATCCGCAAAAGGACGTAATTTAGCGTCATTCCTTTTACTTCATTTTGTCAAATACATATTATTTCTACCTTTTTTATTTGATAAAATCCAACAGGATTCACAGTATAATGTTGCGTAATCTCCACTATAACATACACACTTATATATAGCATTAACTTGATAAAAAATATAGCATACACACAATTCACGGTCGTGTCTGTAACCATGTTTATTATAGTATGAATACGAGTAAAGATGTTTCAGTATTTATTACAGGTCTTCTCCGAGAAAATGAATTACGTGCAATGGTAGATAACAGGATTCAAGATTTGTTTAACAGAAGAACACTATATAAATGAATACAATACCCGCCATAAGAATTAAAATCGGTAGATTATTACCAAAAAAACTAATAGTTATATCTAAGTCGAACGATACAATGTACACCAGCGTGTAAAGTGAGGACAACTGGTGAAAAACGGTCAGTAATACCTGTATGCGGATAAATTAAGATAAAAGGTTAATTTTATAATAATGGTATGAGGGATGAATTAAGACAAAAAGTATTTTTTATAATAATTGTATGAAGGCTAAATTAAGATAAAATGTTTATAGTAATTGTATGAAGGATACAATAAGATAAGCTATTAGTTATGTTATAACTGTTTTGGACGAATTGAGATAAACTGTCTTTTTTCAATATTTGTAGGATGACAACGGGTGATGATCGGTCAGTTTTGTAAAATCTGTAAGAGGATTAGCCGAGATTAACATTAGTTGATGGTACGAACTGGACAAAACTCGGTATCTGTTTCCGAAGTCTTAACATTCAAAATAAATTATTCATTTTAACACAAGAGAAAGAAATCAGCACAGTTCTCAAACAAAAGTGTTATATAAATGTGATAGTATCAAACGATCCTACAATAAGTGAATCAAGTTGAGTTTATTGAAGCTATCTTGTCGTTATAAACTTTATAGGATTTGAATGATAAATTACATCTATAAAACCTTGACGTGTCATCTAAAATTCAAAAAATAATTCAATCCTTTTCTTGATTGATTAAAAGGTTTCTACACTAAAGTTTGCCCCCGGCACAGAATACTGCACATGGCATACCTCAAGTATGCCAAAGACCCTAGTGCAGTTACCCAGTCTTGGTTACTGTACACTAGTCTTTGACCCAGGTCTGATGAAGCGTACTGTATATATAGGATTGTACAGGAGTTTACATTCTATATAAGATTGATAAAACGATTTTATTTATTCTCTTTCTCTCTGATGACATTCCGAGGAGCTAAACTGAAAATAAAATATAATTAGTTTCATACTCCATATGAAATGAAAGCACTATCACAATCATTCATATTACTAATATTGCGAAAAAATAAACCTGTCTATGTCATTCTTGAAGTCTAAAATTCCGTGATATTTGCCGTATAATCTAGTGATTTCATTGTGACGTCATATTATGATCTGCACTTATGTGATATTTCACTACTCTAAATGTGGATTTGCGTGCGTACCTACTTCGCGCTGAGATATACATGTACAACATGGGTGTGTTCACTGAATACGGACATCGTTTGTAACACCGGTTTATATTTGTTATTTTGTTGTCCGTTCACAACATAAACAAAATAAGTCATTATTGAAATTAAGATAAAAAAATCTCCACAATCATAATATATTCAATTACGGTTCAGTTAATTCTCTTATTGTAAATGAACATATTTAAACAGATGGTTTTATTTTTATATGTATAATAAGAAAAAATACTGAGAGGTAAAACATACCTTTTTATTCAAAAAAGTGTAAATCACTCGTTAAACATGAGTTTTTCATCGCAATGACTACCAAATAATAAAAAATAAATTATACCTCCAAAAACCATAATAATACCAACAAACTCCAGTCTGCCCACTTCTGTATAATATCTGACACGTCTGAACTCTATGAATATCTACCAGGCTTATAACAATCTATCACGCTGTTGTCATCTAGCTTAAAGCTAGCTTACTTCCTTATGTTCAAGTTGCCTTTCTCCCATGCACAGGTAAAGTGCGCAACTGTGTATTAGGTCTTGATTGACAGCTGGAAAAAATCCTCCGCTAAAAACATAGTTCTGATTTTAATCCCACACCATAGAGTGTAATCGGAGTGTCACAGTTATAATAATGATTTAAAATAATGCATTTTAGTTTTCCAGCACTTCTGAGTACAAAACACTTTTAGATTATACACTATTATCCTGATAAAATCTACCGATACACTGGGCGGAGTGATATATCACAACTGTGTGGTATACTGTTGACTCAGCCATGCGAAGGAGTGGCTAATACAACGTTATAGTAAAAACCGCTACATACCGTGTCTCATTCATAAAACCGCAGGGCAAGCGAGCGGTTGGCTTGTATTTACTCTGTAACTGAAAATCTTGTGTTGTGTTTTATTATACCTAACCACATATATGCATTTACCAACAGATCTAAACGGTCTTAGGCCGTTCCCGGATTCGCCTCACAACATGACCGAGGTTGTCCCGGGGGAGCGGACTCTCAGTTCGGTGCTAAGTGACCACCCCGGGGAACTCGTAAGGACCGGAAGTCCGAATCTCGTCTGCTCAGTTTTACCATCCCACTGGCGATCAAACAAGACCCTCCCCGTGGCTTTTAAAGTCGTGTCCCTCGGGGAGGTCAAGGATGGTACAAGAGTGACCATCACTGCTGGGAACGATGAAAATTATTGCCCGGAATTACGGAATAGTACGGCGTATATGAAACATCAAGTGGCCAAATTCAACGACTTACGCTTCGTGGGGAGAAGCGGACGAGGTGAGTGGGTACACATATACTTACGTACGTACGTACGTAGATATACTTGATGAGTAACCCCAAAATCGGAAATTCCAGTTTTCCACTACTGGTGAATCCTGGTAAGGTTAACAACGGTATGTCGAAGGTTGATAACATATGTATTGTAGTGCGTTATACAGTCTTATTGTGTTTGTTAGCTTCTTAATATATTTCATATAAATAATATTACGGGACCTGTTAGTGGACAGGATATAAACACAAGGTAAACTTATTACCATAACCATTTGCGTCATCACAGGAATAATGACAATGTGTTTTTCTTTTAGCGACAATAAATCAAACTTGTGACGGTTTTATATATTTAGTGTTTGTCACATCGTATCTCTGTATATCCGACGTTTTACCTCGTCTCTAACATGCTGTTAGGTCTAACGTACACTGTATATGGGCAAGGTGCGAGTCGAGTCATGAATGAGTCTTATTTGTCATTTAAACTACCCCCGACGTTACAAAGGTATATTGGCATTTGATATGCGAGTGGGCGTTTTTAACAATACGCGAAATAGGTTATGTAGTAGGTATGCCCTTATATGGAAGATAAGTTGTAAGGCTGTATAGGAAAATCAATAGTGGTTGTGGGAATGTAAACAGGTCCATTGATAAAACTTACCTGTGACATTCCACCTTTATCACGCATACTATAATATATACTGCCGGTTAATTGTTTAAACGCGTTTCAATTAGTAGAATAAAAAGGAAATGAATTGCTTGTATAGTCAAATATTATCACAGATCAAAATATTGTATATGTTTTCCTCAATATTCTTTAATAATCTGCCGTGTATTGTTGCTTAAATTTGCAGGGAAATGCTTGTAAATTATGCCAATGTCAGTAATATATAAAAAAAAAAAAATCGCAAGAACCTATACACCTCATTTACAACCGGTCACTTACTGAAAACTCACAATTTCAGGAAAATATTTCATAAACGCTAAAACAATATCTACGGAAAATGCCTGTTACTATTCACAGGACGGTACAGTGTACGATCGACACACCCTTGGGGCAAACAATTTTAATCCACGGTATAATTTGGAAACCAAAAGAATCCTTTCTGTTTGAATACAGTTTTAACGAATACATTACTTCTGACGATGAACAATTGACGATGAAAAAAAGGCATGTAGTATGAGGTGGTGTCTTGATGAAATTCAAATTAGTCAACAAACAACACTGAAACATGTCAATGACACACTTACAGTGCGGTGATACAAGTCCTAATCTCGATATGCATTCCGCAAAAACCACTCGGCCTCTCCGTCTCCTCATGCCTCTTAGCCACATCACACATGGCTCACAATTTTTTAATTAAAAACAAAAAAAAAATTATTTCGAAGTTTTGTTGACGGCGGTTATTGTTTAATACCATGGATTTTCTCTGTTGTAGCAATCACACATTTAAAGTTATAAACAGGTATTATGTGAAACGATATGTTTAAGTACCGATACTTGTTATTGAATGATGCTAATCTTCAGAGAAAATTCTGCATTTCCTACCTATTTTGCTTGATGTTAGTAATAAGACAATTTTAAGAAACAAAGATGTCAAAATTGGACAGTTACATTGTTCATTTCACTAACCGTTCTAATGACGTCGATGTAAAGATAATGAATATTGTAGTTTAAAAAGGATATGGGGAAAAAAATAACAATCAATTTCCTTGATTGACAATGGCTAGAGTTTATCGTGAATAACTAAAAACCAATCAGGAGTCGCTGTTTAACGTTGACATTGTTGTATATGGAATGAGGAAGTTGGATTTGGGAGTTAATTGTAGTGTTAGTAAAAGTGTTTACACAAGCTTTGTGTTACTGATGCTGTTTTCCCTGGGAACACACGTCGTCATTGTCGGGGAGATGTCTGCTTACTTAGACTGTTGTTAACTTTACCGTTACAGGCACTCACGGTAATCAGCCGTCATATTTATTATCCTAGAGAGGATAAATACAGGGCTATCTACCGAACCCTTAATTTACCCCCAAACTTGTATACGATTTCTATCCTGTCGTCACTCCCCCAAGTGTGACTTTGTGGCGCGTAGTCCTGCCCGGGGGGCTGCCACGTTTTCCCCGTGCATTATTCTGAATACCAACTCTTTTGTCATACAAGGCGACAGCATAATCAGACATTGTTACTGTGACAAAAATAATTCGGCGTAGCGGGAGTCATTCTCACTGGGACTGTATCATATGACATGACGTTTGAACAGCGTTAATGATACACTAAGAACCGTAAGAAGTTGGGGCGCGATGCCTCCGACATCGTTAGGGATGCTGGCTTTGTGGGTACAATCTTGGTGGCGGTGACGAACTGTGCCAGCGGTTGACTATAGCCCACGGCAATTCCACAGCGCTACCACACGACAACACCCGGTGTGGCGAGGTAACCGCTGAGGCGTACCGCACCCGCCTAACGACTTACACAACCCGTCACCGATATCACACAGACCCTTACCAAAACCTCAGAATAAGCAAGTTCAAGTTCTACATTTGCTGAAGTTTTATAACTTATGACAATTACAGATAAGACAAAGACACTCACAATACACACTTACACTGACTCGCACACATCATCCTCATCATAAGCATGATGACAATAAGCATTGGACACAAAATTCATCACAAATGGAACAAAACAAGTTACGATAAATGTGAAACAAACTCACAAAACAAGCTCGAAAACAAGAACACAGTCTGTACAAACCGATACAGCTGAATCTCACAAAGACATGACACAAATTGATAAACAAACATGGGAATTATGAAAATGATAGCCTTTACGTTGTAATAAAGTCAACACACACAAAATAAAACGGTTTTTAAACTATGAATATATTTAAATAACAGCAATAATTTCAAACTACTCAAAACGTTTGGAGGTTAGTAAGTATGTCACGAGCGTATAACATGTGCCAGCACTTGTCGTCATCAATGTTTTAGGCGCCTTTATTTGTTTCTGCAATGAATGATTGGGAGCAGCTCTCGCGTGCTAATTAACACTATAAAGGTTAAAATATTTGGCCGATTACGGATGCCCTTAAATCTCTCGTCAGAATTGTTTTTATTTTACCAAGAACTTGGGAAGAGCAAAGCGTGGCCTCTGATGCAATCCATTTTGTGGGGCGATTATTTGATTTCAGATGTCACCCCTGGAAGGATGGATGAGTGCGAGGTTTCAATATGGTGGTAAAATGGAGGGATGGGAATGGGAGGGGGTTGATACGGCGGCAAATCGAGAAAGAGCGGTGAGGGAGACTGGAGATGGTGGTAATCCAACACAAGGTGTCTCCTAAACAATGCAATTACCGAGAAAAATGGACTGTCGGTTTAGCCATTCATTGTCTCAGCGTGAAGGTTAGCCCAGATTTAAAACTCAGTCCATTCCGACAAATTGGCCTTTTACCATATATGGGCATTACGACGTGTTAATGTCGCTAACATCCCGACCCGTGTCGCGGCATGGAGTGCCAGACAAACGCATTAGCCCGTCACAAAGAAATATGGTTTCATATTCACGCGCACTGCATGCACAAAAAAATGACACAACTAGTTTATTGCAGTCGGGATAGGGCAAATTATACGAAGATGAAATTGTAATTCTGCTCACTCAAGTGAGGGTCAGTGCAGTCGAAATAGTTGATCTGAATAAATTGGCAGTAAAATGTAATGTATGCTGTGGACCAATGCTCTACATGGTATTGGTATACCCTTACAAATTACTGCTGGGACTGTATATAATTACCACGTATATATCAGTATAATAATTGTTGAAGATATTGTCAGCACGCGGATTACATATAACAATATAATAATTGTTGAAGATATTGTCAACACGCGGATTACATATATAATTACCACGAATAAACCAATATAACAATATAATAATTGTGGAAAATATTGTCAGCACGCGGATTACATATATAATTACCAAGTATATACCAATATAACAATATAATAATTGTGGAAGATATTGTCAGCACGCGGATTATAATCCTGGTAACAGTTTCGTCGATGTAATGCGAACTAATATAAACAAAAAAACTGCCATTGTTTAAAATAATAAATTCCATTGAAGTTTTATCTGTTTTTATCTACCACCTATATGTCTTGTTTCCGTTATGTAACCTTTGTTCTTTGTTTTGACTAGGAAAGAGTTTCTGCTTGACAATCACAGTCTGCACACACCCTCCCCAGGTGGCGCTCTACCAAAAAGCCATCAAGGTCACCGTTGATGGACCACGTGACCCAAGAAGCAAAATAAGTAAGTATTAACATAATATTCAAATTTGACGTTAGTGCGATCATAATATTTACAAAATAACACCGTTTAAAAACGTTCTTCTCACACCCAAACAACAACAACAACCCCACACACACACCAAACCCAACCACCACCACCACACCCCTTTTCCTTCCCCAACCCCCACCCTACCCTCCCCACACCCAACCCCCACCATACCCCCCCCACACCCAACTCCCACCATACCCTCCCCACACCCAACCACCACCATACCCTCCCCACACCCAACCACCACCCTCCCCACACCCAACCACCACCATACCCTCCCCACACCCAACCCCCACCATACCCTCCCCACACCCAACTCCCACCATACCCTCCCCACACCCAACCACCACCACAACATCCTCACTCCACTCTACCCCCTTTCCTTCCCATTGGTAACAGGATCATTAAGAGAACCGGGTCTACAAAAAGTTGCTGATCTGTGGTCTCCTCCTTGTCTTCCTCACAGGAACCACTAGCTATTGTGTCATCCAGACCTCCCCATAACGTAGAACACTGTCGTCCTCAGGACCAAAGTGATTGTAATGCTTGTGGCATTATTTTTGAAACCACATTAAGTGTTTAACCCAGCGAATGCTATTACCAACACTGAAGCTAGAAAAACGGTTCGGATCAAAACCGCTTTGTCTATTGGGTCATACAGGTTTGCGCGACATCTGTTTGCTGACGTATCGAAACATGTTCTTGTCATTAAAAGTCTCAAGAGAAGAGCTGACCAGCATTTAGTTCAAACTGCATGTATTTTCTAGCAATTCTGTTGTTTTATGAAAAATATTTCGTAGTGGGATACACGAGTACAGAGCACAATCACATAGAAAAATATGCACACAATATCTGATAGCTTAGAGATAATAACGATAGGTATCAATACAAGCTGAATTAAGTCTAACTCACACGTATATTCCAATAATAGCATTTTTGAGATCAGGCTGACCAGTGTTCGATGCTTGTAGAAATCGGTTTAAGTGCGCTCGTTTAAGCAGGCTATGGAAGTCGACACTAAGCATATGGACTAGGAAACAATATAATGCAGTTTCGATCGCACACTTTAGAAAAATGGGACAATCACATGAATCTTTTGGCTATTGACTCATTTAGCTCGTTAGTGTGATTAGCATGTGTTACATGTTAAAAACTATGAAATCCATTAATTTGGAAACCCTACCCCCATCGTCGCCATAAAATCGGCTCCTATCGGTGTTTTGGCGAGAGGTGAATTGTAAAACGTTTCTGGTGCCATCAAATGGCGAGAAGGGTCTTCTTTCATTACGGGGGTTACTGGTTCAGCTCCTTTGTTACCAATTTGAACAGCGTTTTGTAATTGCCTGGGGTATCAGCAGTACTCGGGGCGAGATGAGGGGCCGACCGTCATTAGTAGTCCGTGTCACAGTTCGCACAGACTCGGACACTTTCTCAAGCAGCTCCAAACCATTACCATGACAAAGAAGACATCGATAACAGGCGCTTCTTTTGTTACGTAACGTAAGCTGGTTCCTCCCCACTCCCCTTACCGGTCTACGCTCAGCTTCTCCAACATCTGCCCGCACTGCAGGGACCGAACCTACTCGGAATAACTGCTCCCTAAAAATCAACACCGTATACTTCATTAAAATATTAGGTTTCGATTTAAATAGTCACACGACACGATGCATGCATTTCTTTGTAAATATAAATCAATGTTGGTATTCTGTAAGATGCCATTGCAGAAGGAGTCCTTGTGATGGAGTGTTTGTGTTGTTGGGATGGCTGTGAAGATGTAATGTATCGTTAACCTGTTCAGAACGTAAAATCCTCCTCAGTCGTACTGTTATTGCTGGTGAAAGTGACGACGATACTTACGAGTGTACTGATACCACGGAATAATGAGCTGTTTACGAGCTTAATTCCGACTGTTTTCGACTATCATAACACGCAATCGATTTGAAAACATTCACAGGTCATAAACAGTTTTAATATTTATTGGGTGATCTTACACAGATCGGCCAGATTGTGTTTTCTTCCCGCACGTGTCATTTTGAAAATTAGTAAAATACACATTTTTGTACCGGCCGATATATTTATAGGTACACGTGCGTGTCATGTACCTCCTCCACAACACCTACTTACGTACAAGCTCATCAGGTACGCACAAACATATCCGTAATAAAAAAAAATCCTCCGATGTACAACGCTTAATCGATGTCAGCGGTGGGGGAAACTTCCGTGAGAGTAAATTAACATTCTCCTATGTGCCAGTTATTAATAATCAAAAACAGTTTGATGTAAAAACTTGCCCAATTAATTTGTAGTATTTTTTTGGGATAAAGTATTTAAGTACAATTATTGGGTAGATGAGGAGGGATAGTGACATCTACTACACCCTAGCCAGGATTACCTTGGTTGGAGCGCTGAACACGGCGACACTACATGTGTTGTGTGATTGTCATACATGTGCTTTTGTCAAAACTTTGTGACGCAGAATAGGAAATACCAGATTTGGTCATGGTGTGGACTCACTTCCTCCGGGGGAGCGTGTAGAACCCCCATACTGTAAACCATCGACAGCTTTATCGCTAATACACGTGATTTACGACATATTACCACTGTTTAAAACGCCATACATGAGTCAACAAAGTGTGAAGGCTATTACCTACATAAACGTTGTACTTTTACATTCTTACTGTACCAACGAATGTACGTAATGTAATTGGAATAAATTTATGTTTTAATATTTGTGTAGATACACTAAACAAGCAGATTATATTTTCTCGTCACGCTAACTTAATCCTAGACGAATTCCTTACGTGCCTAGCATAACACTGTACAACCTGCTAAACACCACGTGACATTTTACCACATAACATTATAATGCTATAGCCAGTGTTTATTTTTTTCTATTATTGTTAACACTTGTCGTTCATTATCATTCTCGCATGATATAAAATTACGTCTGGCTGGTGTAAGAAATGTTCAGGGCCTGCACGGTATTACGTAAAACAAAGGACACGCATTAATATTGGCCTGCACGGTATTACGTAAAACCACGGAATTAGATTATCTAAGTCCGTGGTAAAACAAAGGACATGCATTAAAATAACGTGGTTACTTTCCAAGATAAGAGTACCATATAGTTTTCATTGACTGACAAGTAGGACCCCTGTTACCTACAGAAAAAATCGCCCCCTGTTATAGATAAAAGCTATATAAAGAGAAACCGTGCCCCTGTGATTAAGTTAACTGCAATAAGACGTATCACCACTGAGCTAGTTTGATAACAAACTAAATGTATTAGATCTGATAAGCATTTTACTCCTGATTCTAACCTGCACTTTCCGGGGACTTAATTGATGGTTAGGAAACGTAATATACAATGCATTGGGATTTGAGTAAAATAGGAGAGTGTGATATGGACAGATAATCTATCTGGTTACGACACGACATGGTGTGGGTGGGGACGACTAGGTATTTAGGGAGTGTGCCAGGATTACATGTATATAGAGGAGTGTAAAGGTAGATAGGACATCGGAGTAGGACATCGGATCGTAAACACCTCACCTGGATTGACGTGACGTTATTGTTTGACAAAAAGAGGTTATAGAAACAACACCTTGACGATCTGTTAGACTACCTGTAGAGGATGGAGATGAAGGAGTGACGTCACGCGTGTTTTGAACGTGATGTTGTACCTGTAGAATACCTGTAAATACTACACTGATTACGTAACGATGCATTATTGAAGCGACGGTATCGCCATAATACTTTTTTTTAAACTTTGTTTGTGTTTGATTTGATGTGAGAATTCGTCAAATTGGGAACATTAATAGTTGAGAATAGGAGGGGCGAACACATAATAGCTAGAATTTTTCTATAGGTGGGGCAAAAAGAGCGTCGGAGGCATGTAACTCATAGAACGACTCGTTCTAAAGCGCAGTCCATATAATGTATACTTTATTATGTGTAAACTGTATGGTTTTGTAAAGTGTGCCAACTTAGCGGATCGGAAGTGGCGGATAAGACTTCTAGTAACTACCAGTTTAGTGGCCGCATTTCTGGTCATGGTGTGGTGGACAGGAATGTACGCGAGGTCAAGGTCAGGGAGACACAGTAAACATATTTAACTTAACAGTCTGGCAAATAAAATTTAATAATTCCAGTCCATAGAAATAAATTGTCAAAATAGTTGTGTTGCATATGGACTAGGACTGCTACCACTCAGTCCGGATTTACTGATGTCGTGTATACCACTCAGTCCGGATTTATTGATGTCGTGTATACCACTCAGTCCGGATTTACTGATGTCGTGTATACCACTCCCTCGATATGTATATATACCGAAATATAGTTCTTTAACACTTCCTTACCCACACATCATGAAAATATACACTTACTTTATAACTTCTCCATCGACGTATAAAATACTGAAATTTACAGAGTGCCTGGATACCGCTGTCACTCGACCTTCAGATACTGACATGTGAAGGGAGGATTGTACAATTTTAGCACTCCTCATCCGCACATTAAAACGGGCTGGTGACGGGGTACTGTATGGTGACGGGGTACTGTATGGGTACAGTAAATCTGGCTCCACCGTTTACACACGGCCGAAATGTATAGTATTGGTCAGCTACGAAAAGCCCAGCCACAAACTAGACGTCACTATGTGGCCAATCTTAGGTGTGGTCAGTGTGTACATGTGGCCAAAATCTATTTAGGGTTGTCTCGGAGGATGTGTGTGGTCAGTGTGGCCAGGGACAGTATACTTCATTATACGTCCCTGGTGTGGCAGAGACAACGAAATATGGAGGGTGTCTTGACTAGCATGTGGCTGTACGGGAGGGACCAGCACGTGGCTGTACGGGAGTGGTCAGCACGTGGCTGTACGGGAGAGGCCAGCACGTGGGTGTATGAGAGGAGTCAGTCCGTAGTTGAGGCAGAGGACCTAAAGCTGACGAGGACCTGCCCGCTGTGTTTAGTGTGGAGGGAGTACTCTTGGGAATTATTTGGCAGGGAATGGTTGTGCTATTCGTTATGTGTATTCGATCTTCAATATCTGTCAGACTGTTTATTGAACTCTCGTTATGGAAAGAGTCCGATATACAAAAAAGTTCAAAGACATGTACATACTAATGAAGCATGAGTATCGCCGGAAGCCGTGAGCTCCCGGAAGTAGAATGATTTACATCAATCTGCGCTTGAGGCGATTACTTGTAGATGTTAATTTGTGTGTGAAGATACCTTGTCACACATTATAGTCTTTGGTGTGCGTGCACGTGCTACTAGTATCTATCGCAGAAAGTAATATTTTGACAGAACACGAGTCGACTGTTGACCTTCTTGCATGGCCACACAACCCACTTGTCAAAATATCCATTAGATTATAACAAGTGTTCATAAAAAAAATCCCATTGTCATATATGGTGAGGAGAGAATCCTGCTTCATTGCCTTTGTCCATCACTTCTAGCCAACTGCTGACTAGGATGTTACACACCGGGCCATTATCAGCAATCATTACCCTGTTTGTTGTATGGTCCGTGCGAAAAGCACCGTGCACAAATTCTACCTGTCAGACACGCATACACATGTACGTGTTTACCTGTATTTATAGTGACGTCACGGCAGATGTCTGGTCCGGGTTTGTAAGATCTATCATGTCTTGTCAACGAACGTACATTAATCAGTCGATGCATGCGACTCCCCCTCCCTCATCCCCCTATTTCTTTTATGCAATTTCAAAACCATATTAATCATACGAATTTGAACAAAATAAAAAAATCTTTCTTTGCATTAGGCTCTTATTCTACAGACTGATGAGTTGTCTAAAATCTTTGTAAAACGGGATACAACATTGGTGAACTCCCTACCAAGTCTCAAATCATAGACCC